TAAGAGGTTGGGTAATGATAGGAAACCAAGTAAAAAATAAACCATAAAGTAAAAAAAAATGAAGTTAGTAAGAAACGAAATATAAGATAAAAACGAAATAAAAAAAAATAAATAAAAAATAAAAAAACATGCCTTTATTAATTTTAGAACTGAAAGAACTAAAATATCTAAAAAAAAAAATAATAATAAAATAACTGAACCTTAATTGCAGAACCGGAAGGAACCGAGGAAATGAACCTATATTGAAACGAGATTCGAAAAACAAATAAACATGACGCGATCATGTGGCAAATATAAGGAGTAACGTAAAGTATTTACCAAAAAAATTTACGTTCCGTACCTATAAGAGAAGTAACGTAATAGATCATGTGACTTTACGTTACTTACTTTGCCAATTACTTTCTGTATATTCATGGAAAATGCAAATTATAAATATTTTAGTTAATTAATTACCTTAAAATTCAAGATAATCGGTATTTATTGATTGATTAGTAATACATTTATTAATTATTAATTGTTTAAATTTTTTTTTCAGTAGGTCGCACCCACGTTCTGAAATGGATCGGGTACTACTTTGCTGCGGATGATCGGTAAGTTATTCCACTAAAAAAAAATTTGTCAATTATTTCCTAATAAACAATATTTTTTTCTTAGGTTCAATGAATGAGTAGACCCATCGGAAAGAATTGTTTTTCTCACCTTAGATTTGGTCTTAGGGTTTTAAATGGAAGGAACCGATCATAATGGAAGCTGCTGGTAGGTAATGTTTTTATCATCCGTTTTTTCATTTTTTTTATTTTTGAACTAAAATTTCTTTTATTGCATTAAAAAATACTTTTTAGATTCTGATTCTTGATTTTTTTATCTTCCCATTAAAAAAATGCTTTTTTAGATGAAAAATTTCCGAATTTGGTTTTTTTTTATCCAAAAAATTATTTATGATAATGCATTTTTTGTACAAATTTTACTAAATAATAAAAAAAAAACAATTAATAAAATGGATAAAAAAAAGATAAAATGTAATGTTTTCATTAATTAAAATTATAAAAAAAATTAGGAGAAAAGTAATTTTTATTTTTAAAAATAATAACAGTACTGTACGCTTATATTTATCAAAATTTTATAATAAAATGCTTTAATTTTTATATTGTTTGAAAGCCATAGTTTTTGAATAATAAATATATGAATTTTTTATATTTTTGTCTTTTAGAAATTAACAAGTATCTAAAAAAAAATGAAATATTATTCAAAATTTTCTTTTCTTTTTTTTTTAATTTAACGATCAATCAGAAATTTTTCATTAATACAGCTCTATAAAGTTTAAAAAAGTATGAAAATTTGACCCTATATTCTTTAAAATCTAATGTTATCACATATTAAAATTTCAAGGGTCCTCTATTTTTGTTTAAGTAATATAACAATTACCAAATTTCTTTTTTAATTAACATAGTTATATGAAAGCTAGAAGTCTAGAACTATGAAATTTTGAATATGTTTTGTAGGGAAGTTAAAGTACTATTAATTAACAAAATAGAAGGTCCACTACTTTTGTCTAAGTAGTGTATTTTCAGTTGTGATCGTCTTATTTATTTATTATAAAATTTAAAAATAGCTAATTTTTATGATATTACGCATTACATGATTTATATATCATAATAAATAAATTGTTTAATTTTATAATTTTATTAAATCATATGTATACTCATAAATAAGTGAATTATTCTATGAAACTTTGCAAATATTGCTACTCTAAATCTTAGAGTTTAAATAATTCTAAATATAATAATAAAATTTAATTTAATAGATAGTTAAGATCCATCTTACCTAAAAATTGAATATTAATCATACTGTAGTACGCAAGAAGATATTTTAAAAATATACTTACAGTCAGAAACTTTTAATTCATCTTGTTTATTATTAATGTTTCATGTCCAAAGTCGAACAATCCTGAAGGCTTTGTGATTATCAACAAGATTGTTGTTGAAATTGTTGTATCTGTTTGTTTTACATATATTGTTATTGTTATTTTTATATGTTAACGTCCAGAATTTATGAAGTGTTTGAGGGGCGAGGGGGGGGGTCTACAATAAACAAACAAACATAATATAACTTTTGGGAAAATTCGGGAAATTCTGGAAAATCGGAATTTAAATTTAGAGGGGATATTTAAACATATTTACAGATTTTTGAAAAAATCGAGGGAAGGGGCACGTTAAACAAATAATTAAATTGTCAGTTGGAACAATTGGTTGAGAATAATAATTAGAATGTATGAATAAAAAGAATGTATTAATAAAGTAGAGAAATGTATTAAATATAAGGAATGTATTTGGATACAATAATTAATGTTAATAATTAATTTGCTCAAATAATATAACCATAATTTAACTGATAAAATCACATGATTAATTCTCTAAACACGTGACATTTGAGGCCTAGCGATATATTGCCATAGCGATAAAAAACAAAACCCTTTTATCTCCTCTCTCAGAAATAAGACAAACCCCTTTTATAAATTCATTTTATGCTATTTTTAATCCACTTTATAAACTTTTCCTATAAAAATTTTCATTTACATCATTTTTTTACTCCACCTTATTATATCAATTAATCAATTATGTAAAATCATGTGTTATAATAAAAATATCGGTCTATGAAAATCTGCATGGGCTGAAAGATGCAAAATATTTTACCATTATTTTCATTTTCAATTAATTTAACCTTTTTAATAAATGACGATATAGTAGAACAAATTAATTCTTTTTTAGGTAGAAATGACATAAATTAGGCAATAATAGAAATACTAAAAGCTTAAAAAGACCATTTTTTTCTTTTACAACTTCACGGTACTCTCATATTACTTTTTAACTTGGTTATTTTTTTCTAATAACGAAAATGGCGCTTAAAAGAATTAACAAAGTAAGTTTATGCGAGGTTATTAGGAGAATGAGGGAGAGAAAAAAAAAAATTTTTCGTTGTCGATCGTTATTTTTAATTCAATTATTCCTAATTTTATTTTACGTAAATGAAATACGAAATATAATTAATATTTGTTTTTGTAATATACTGTTTATATTCTATATTCTATATTAAGCTCTAAGCTTATCGTTATATATACTTTTTTTTACGTTTCTTTTTCATATAACTTTTATAATAATGTACTAAATAATTATTTATTTTTAATTTATTTACTAGGAATTGAAAGATTTAGAAAATGACCCACCAGAAACTTGTACTGCTGGTCCAATTGATGATGATCTTTTCCATTGGCAAGCGACAATTATGGGTCCCGTAAGTAATATTTTCTTTTATTACTTTTTTTCAAGTATAAAAGATTATATTTATCTTCATTTGGTATAAATTGGTTTAGGAGGATTCTCCATACAATGGCGGTATATTTAACCTTGATATTCGTTTCCCTCAAGATTATCCGTTCAAACAACCAAAGGTAAATTTTTATTATGCGTGTTTTTATACTTAATAGTATAACTTACGTTTAAATTGTCATTTACAGGTGACGTTTCAGACAACAATTTATCATCCGAATATTGACTGTAAGGGAAATATATGCTTGGATATTCTAAAAGACCAATGGTCGCCAGGACTTACCATCTCGAATGGTAATTTTATATATTGTTCATAAAGTAATTGAAGTTCTTTCACAAAAAGAAATAGAAAAATATTAATCAAATCTTTTATATTCTATCAAGTACTCTTGTCAATTTGCTCAAGGCTAACTGATCCAAATCCAGGTAATTAATAATATATTAACCTTTATCTTACTTTGTATCTTTTTCTCCGATCAACATTTTCTCTTTTTTATTTTTTTTTCGATTAGATGATCCACTCGCACCCGAAATTGCTCATATATACAAAACAGATCGCTCTCGTTTTGATGATACTGCTAGAGATTGGACACGTAAATATGCTTCTGAATAATAATATGCGTTCAAAATGTTAGTCAGTATGGTTTAAATTAGTTTATACTTTTGTATTTATTTAAATAGTTTAAAAACGTAAATAAATTATTGATAAGAGTAACTTTATTATTAAGATTATTACATGCTTCTGAGTTCTGATGTTGACTATTTATAAAAGTTTGTTATCATTAACAATTAAATTTTATAAGCCGTGAATTCGTTGTTAGAAATATATATCATTTCATACCCAAAATCTAGATGATTTGCGACCATAAATTTAATTAATCATCGGTGTACTTATTGAACTTTATTTTACTTGATTTTTTTTGATGTTGAAAGTGAGAGAGACTGCTCTAGATGAAAATGAATTTTCATAGTCAAGTTCGAAATAAGGTTAATCTATTGAACATCAAAAATTTTTTTTTTTGTGCTAATTTGGTTATTCATTTTTTTACTAACTAATCAAATATAATTATGACATTCCTTCATGATATATTTTTTTAAAAAAAGAAGCGATAATTTAATTATATTTTTTTTATTTATTTTTGTACATACTTCTTTGCTAAATCTTTTAAGAAAAAAAGTATATTCATCAGGAAATTTAAAGATTACTAAAATTATATAAAATTAAACTTTTATATAAAGTTAAATAATTTCTTATATGATATTTATATACTTTTAAAAATATATAAAAATAATATTTTTTAATAGAAAAGCTACCTATTTTTATTATAAATGTAGCTTTGTATCTTTATAAAGTATAAACCAATATAAAAATTATAATTATAATTATTTGTATTTTTATTTTTAAAAAAGAAGTAGAATATTTCATAATTTTATGTAAAATTGTTAAAAAGAAATATAATCTTTTAAAATAATTATTTAACATATGTAATAATTTATATACGAACCTCGCATTTTATTAATTACTCGAAAGCGTACATAATAAGTGGGTTAAATTTTTAATTAAACCATATATAAAACTAATAATTAGTTGGCCAGCCATTATTTTTAATACATACCTCAATTCTGTGTGGCATACTTTCAATTAAACTTATTAAAATATTATTAGGAATTTGGTTCCATTCTTCATGCAAAGCACGCTCAAATTCCTTCAAATTTTTTTCAGGGTTGGGACGTTTTCTAATGCGCCTTTCCAGCTCTGACCATAAGTGTTTAATGGGATTCAAGTCAGGTGATTGACTTGGCCAATTTTCCAAAATTTTGATTTTTTTTGTTTCTATCCATTTTTTAACGTTTTTGGCGGTGTGAGCAGGAGCATTGTCATCTTGGAATAAATAATCTTGTCCATTATAATTATTATTAATAAATGGAAGCAAATGTGATTCAAGTATTTGAATATAATCATGATGGTTCATGGTTTTCATGTTTCCACCAGCTTTTACTAGCGGTCCTAACCCTTTTCCTGAAAAACAGCCCACACCATTATACGTCCACCATTTTCTATTGTAGGAACCATTCTTATAGTACCAAATTCCCTATCAATTTTAAATATTTCAAAGCAGCTTTCATCACTCCAAATAACTGTTTTCCATTTACTAATAGGCCAGCCATTTCTTTCAATACACCAGTTTAAACGATTTTCTCTTTGCTTATCGTTAAATTTGGACACTGTAATACGGGGAAAATTAAGTTCAAACAAATTTCTGCTTATAGTCTTGGTAGAAACTTGCATTTCAGTTTTCTTTGATTATTTATTTTAATGAATTTTTTTTGTGTTTTTTGTTTTTTTGGTGTTCGCAATTCAAAAGTTTAGTACGACCACCTCGTGGCTGAGTTTCAAGACCTTTTCCTTAGTATCCTTAGTAAAAGGCTTGAATAGTGTTGTTTTAATCATGTGTGCTTTTTGTGCTTTTGTGGCGCCACCCTTCCTTAAAAGATCTTTAATGAATAATCTGGTTGCGGTTAAATCAAACATGGTACGAGGTAGTACAAATTCCTATTTTGTCGAAAATATTTTTATAAATAAAATAAATTACATCATTGTTTATGTAGATCATAAATCCGCCACGTGTCAAAATTTCAGCTCATGTACACGTAATTACTAAAACTGATCTCAGTTTAGTAAATAACTAAGTATTTATCTTATATCTTAATGCATATTCTTTCCAAGAAATATTTTCTTAAAACCTTCCTTATTATGTTTATTTCCTATTTTCATATTATGATAATGAATATTATTATTGTCTAATATTGCGAATGAAAAATTTTCTTTTAAATAGTTTCGAAGGGAACTTATATTACATTTCCTATTTAAATATAAATAATTATTCGCTAATATGATATTAAATTATCATATTGTTTTTTGATATTGCTTTTGATATTTGAATTTTTATTATTATTGTAATTGTCATTGATAATTAAACATTTTTCATCCAAATGACTTGATATCATATATATATCTACTATCTTTACTTATCAATAATGGATCAAGGAGTAAAATTATAAGATAATTTTGTTAGTGATTCCATAATAAAAATGAAATATTTAATACAAAAGACTTTCTCCATAGAAACGAGATGGATTAAGATGATAATATATATTATTGTTAATTCTTGTTTATTATTATTATCAATAATTGGCTTCCCTATGAAAAAAGTCTGTGTGATTTTTGTTGAAAAATCATTCAATTAAATTCACTACGATTTCTGTATATTTGACCATACAATAATTGTGCTAAAAATTGCAATAAATCACACAATTATTGCATGGTAATTCATTCAATAATTATCCTATTTTTGACCTGAATTTATACAATTATTGTGTGATTTTTGAGCCAAATTTTTTTATGCCATATTTTAGGAATTATAGGTTAAATTTTACAGTAATAACAGGCAATTTATAAAGTGAAATTATGAATTTTTTTTATTGACTTAAAATATAAAAAATATACACAATATTTCATAAATAAAATACTAAATTTGATATAATCATAAATATAAAAAATTGTAAGAAAATAAAATAAATAAAGTATGTTAGTAACATGAAAGTAAATTAGTATTATCAAAGAAGAAAGTAAATTATTAGTGTAAGTAAATTATTAGTATTAAATAAAAAAGTATGAAGTTAGTGAAGAAAGCAAATTAGTAGTGTTAAAAAGTACTAAATTATTAGTGTTAGTAATAAAAAAGTATGAAGTTAGTGAAGAAAGCAAATTAGTAGTGTTAAAAAGTAAATTATTAGTATTAGTAATAAAAAAAAGTATGAAGTTAGTGAAGAAAGCAAGTTAGTAACATTAAAATGTAAAAAGTTAGGAAAATAAAAAGATAAAGAACACAAGTTTTTCTTACCTGATATTTTAAAAGAAAGTTGAAGAAAAGTTAAAAGGTTAAAAAAACATAAACAAAAACATTTCGCGTCGTCATATTTATTTTGACGATCAGATCACGTGATCAACATATATAATTTTAAGAGTTGATTTTTACCGCATAATTCTGGCCAAATTATAATTCCGGTCAGAACTAATTGTGTAACCTAATAAAAAGTTTTTGACTTTTTTTTAGTTACAAGATGATACAAAAATTTCACCAATGGGTCCAGAAGATGCCCATTTATAAGCAAATATGCAGTTGAATTTTATGTAACCTTACTGCATAAATCACTTTACTTAGGAAAATCTATTTGTAATGGTTAAAAGTGGTCTATTCGACCCTAAAAGTGGTCAAATGTAACCATACAGGTAAGATGGAAAGTAGTATAGTAGGATTACCCAAAAATTGCTTTCTGTATCCTAAATTTAAGTCTATTTTCAAGTTGTACAATAATCACAATTTTTATTGTACAAAAATTGAATGTTTTCTGTATCCTAAATTTAAGTTGTATAAAAATCACACAAAAATTGAACATTTTCTATATCTTAAATTTAAGTTGTACAAAAATTGCATACTTTTAATATGCTTTGAAAAACTTCATAGCTATTTTTATCAAAAAATCTGCAATAATTGTACAATTTCCACACGGACTTGAACAAATATTGTACAAAAATTGGATGATTTTTTTTCATAGGGCTTTACAATTAACAATAATTCCTTTATTATCATCATTACATCAATATAATCGTGTTTACTATTAACTAACATATTTTCATTATCATTTCTATGGTTACTATTAAAAAAAAGTAACGTGTCAATTTGATCAGCCGGATGATTTAATGATGATCTGCAACACATTAAATTATCTGGACGCGCCAATTAAATGATATAAATTTTTTCTTTTTTATTTAACAATGAAATTTTACTACTTGTGTATTAATATTATTTAATATAATCTTTTAATTCTAATATTTGAATGTTATATATCATACCTAATAAAACTTTTATATAGCTGGTTGGAGGTCAAAGTCAAAGTCAACATTGTAGTAAAATTCAAGGTAAAAGTTATAAAAAGAACCTTGTTATAATATAATGATGAAGGAGACTTTGAATGGTATATTACCTCACGTAGATATTATCAATTTCTCTATGATCAATGTGCTATAGCTACTTCCATTTTATTAATTTTACATAATTTATCATTTATGTTTTATGATCATTTTTTCTTTTTTCTTTTTTATTTTTTATTTTTTCTTTTCGTAATGGCTGCTGGCTAGGCATGTAGTACAGTCATGTCCTTTTCCTCTTCCTTTTTAAGATGGTTAGTCTACACTCTACAGGCAGGACCCGAGTTATATATATAGGTCAGGGGAGATCGGAACACATTTACTATTAGCTCTACGCATTTCTTCAGCAGGGCCGGCACTATGTAATGCTGGTCGGAATTATCCACAAATGGAAGCGATCTACATGATGTTGGCTCATTCTAAGCAAATAACCAGGACCCCTTTCTATGTATAGCTCGGGGTCCTCTACAGGCTTCTTGAATGTCAGGTTATAATACTTAGTATTGTAGAAAATTTTAATTTCAATGTAATTGATACTGCTTCAATTTCCCTTGTACAATAAATAAATTGTTTTTGATCTTGTGCTTTATTTTATGTTATAAAATGAAAATTTGTTAACAAGTAAACATTAAACATGTCAGGGAGCTTTAAATATTAACAAATAGTAAAATTTACTATAAATTAGAAGTTATGAAAAATATTTGATGTTTCAGAAAAAAAATTATTAAATTTATTAAATTGTTTTTTACTTCAAATCACCGCGTGGTGATCATCACCGTTGGCCAGAATTATCATTTTTTACCGGCACTATATCATAATTTCAGTCACCAGTGATCATCCCCGGGATAGTTATCGTAGAAAAATTCTATTAAATTTATTTTGCATTTTTTGATGACAGTATATTTATACCAATAATGAATAATTAATACTCTACAATTGAAAAAGGTCTTAAACTTTTAAGAACCATTAATAAACCCATCATTTAATTTATCATAGAATCGTAACAGATGAAGGCATTTATGTTGTTTATTTATTAACTAAATGAATAATAAACGATTATTTATTTAATCATGATAAAAATTTATGTTAATCAATCACTGACTGTACAACTAAAATTTATTTGATTAATAAAAGACATTTGTCATCATAAATCATTTATTATCATTGTAATTAATGAATTTCTTGTATTTTATTTTTGTTTCATCCTAGGAATGATTCCATTCTCTCCAACCAAATCGGACAACCCAGACTGGTATTATAAGTAATACCTTTAAAATTTTCAAAGGATATATTTCATATAAATGCACACTTGCACAGTATTGAGTTGTGATCGTTGAATAAATTCATCAATAACATTATTTTGATAATCCAATTTTTTTAAAGTTATCCTTGAATCTTCTAACATTACAAGATTGACACCAATTTTCTCCTGCATTCACCACATATTCCATATGCTTGTTTTCCTTTTTTTTAAATCTTCCATATAAACTATTTTATCATCTATTCCTTCTGCTGATTCGGTAATTGAACTAATAATAGAAATTGTAACATGTCTATAATGATTAAAATAACATTATTATTCAAATTAAAAATTCAATAATGTTTGATAAAATGATTGTTTCACCTGTTACTTAAGAAGCCCAACAATACTTTCCAATTTCTTTTATTTCCTTTAGAGTTCATTTTTCATTATTCCATATTAAATTAATTTGGATTGTATATATATATATAGATTACAATTTACTTAGCGTTAGTCAATTCACAGATAACGTTAACTAATATAATGAAATGAAACGTAAAAAATTTTTTTAAAATTACGAAGTTCGGATAAATTTATGCACAAATAAGCCCTTGTGCAGAATGTGTAACATTCAAAAATTTTATCTATATGCAAGAGCTAATAAAGACTACTGGTCCTACTAATTGGTTATGTATTTTTCATAAAATGAACTTATGTAAAATATTTCTTACCAAAAGTATGTCCGGCTATGGTAATAATTATCCTAATAATGCAAAGATGTAATGGTGAATTTTCAATAAGATTATAATGAACTAGATTTAACTGAAGAAAACCTTGAACTAGATCTTTAAAATATTATTTTTTTTTTTGGTGGAAATTGAAGTAAAAGAAGGAGGATCAATATACAAAATAAATTACAATACTGTCAAATGGTTCAGAAGGTATAAAAATAGATGTTTGTCAACAAATAGTTACCTTTTTACATGAATAAATATGAAAGCGTTGAAGACATTCTTTATTTTAAAAAAAAATCCCTTAACAATATAAAGATATTAGTTATGAAGATTAAATGACGGAGAATTACCCATCCATCTCTTTTTTCAACAACTTGGTCAAAAAGAATATGAGATGTATTATATAAGTAAGGCTTAACAGAAAAAGACATGATCCTGTCATATAACAGTTATAGAAATCCTTCTTTAACATTTTAGCGTAATAACTAATAATATAGTTAATAGAATTAATAAGTGCGTGCAAGGTCAAATTGAAATATGTATTGATGTAGGAGTAAAATCAAACATTACCAGTAATTTTTTTTATGATTTTCATACCTGTAATCTTCTGATGATATTTTCATGTTGGTTTTTTTTTTGGTGACATTTTTTTATACTTTTTCACGTCTCCAGATAAGAGTTATTCAACGTACTAAAAATCATTGATACCCATAATTCCTATAATATTAAAAAAACTGATAATATTATTGTAAATTTGGGCCGTAGTAATTCATGTTTAATTCTGATCAAATTTTTAATACCCCCTCCGAATAAAGTCATATTTGTCATGTTTTGTGAAAATTTTGAACAACCAGCTTTATCATCATATGCTTATTAAATCGCGTAAATTAAAAAATTACTAAACTTTTTATGACTGTATTAATCAATTATGATTCATATGATTCATAAATCTTTAATGCGGGAATAATTAAATAAAACTCGTACAATAAATATTTTCAAATTCATAATAAAATGGGAGGCAGAGGATTTGTCAAAATAATTATATGCACATACTATATAAGCATATAATAAAGCTTAGCAGTTAGCTTAGGAATTTATTTTCTTAATTATCTTAATTATCTTAATAACATATAGCATTCATCGAGATATAACATTCATCGAAAAAAATGGATGAAAACAAAAAAAATGAGAATAAAAAAACGGTCGAGAACAAAAAAAACGATCGAGATATAACATTCATCGAAAAAAATGGATAAAAACAAAAAAAAGAGAATAAAAAAAACGGTCGAGAACAAAAAAGACGATCGTGAATAAAAAAAAAAAGATTGAGAACAGAAAAAACGAATGAAATCAAAAAAAAACAACAAAAAATATAAACGAATTTGAAATTAAAAAAATACTTAAATATATTAAGTATACGAATCAGAACTAATAATTTCATTAAACAATATTTCGATTGCATCTTCAGCGTTCTCTTCGAATATGTTTATGTAATTCACCGAAGATGGAGGCAGCTGGGCCGAATGGTAATTTTGCATTGCTCTCTCTTTTGTAGCATGCAAAATGAATGAGTTTTTCAATTTTGGAGGGGAGGCCCTCCATCTTTCGCCCGCTTTTCTCATGATCTCTTGGGGCGTGAGTGTAGGAAATTCTTTTTTTAAAAAATTTCGATACATCTTAAAAAAAATTGAAAACCCATTAGGGGACTTTTTTTTTTTATTATATTCCGTCGAAGGGTGATTTGAGCGAATCCTTCTTAACGACCGCATACTGCCTACCGAAAAAGGTGAGCCAAATTTTTGTCATTTTATACTTTTTTTTCATAATTAATTTCTTGCTGAAGTCAATGAACAGTTATTCGCTCCGATTAAAAAAGTAAATGTATCGAAATTTGGAAATAGATGAAGGCAACTTCATTCAAGGACAAGCTCATTGCGTCAGCGAGCATTAAAAAAACTACATGCGTTCATTATTTCGATTCTCCAAATCAAAATAATGACAATAGAAATAGATTGATAATAGCGTAAATGTTAAAAAGGATCTATTGTCAAAATATTATTAGTATATTAAACAAAGTTCGAATGTAAAGTAATGAGAAAAAAAAAAATAATTTTATTGTAATCTAATTTTAGGATATGTGAACCGTATTTGTAAACTATAGAAATGTTTTATAATGATCCAAAAAAAAAAAAAAAAAAAAATTTTGAAATACATTATTTTCTAATTTATTATCAAGATTTGTATAATATTTTATTTTGTAGATGTTAGGTNTTACGATAATAATGGAAATATATGGTGTCATTTTTTTTTTAATATATAAACTGATTATGTATAGGAAAAAAATACGATCGTACAAAATGAAAGATCGGCATTATCTGTGTAAAAATGTCACAAATTTCCGAAATAGGATACTGAGATGATTTTAATTTTATTGGTGTAAAAAGAAATTATGGTGCGATCTACTTGATACTATCACGATCAATAATTCTAACAACAAATTTAGTAATTTTATCAAAGCATTATAATGTTATAACTGAATATATTCGAAGAAGATTTCATTCGAAAATTATAATTTTATTAGCCGTAATGAAATTCTAATAAAAATTCTTTTTCGTACGCCGCAAACATTCTTTTTTCTTCCCATTTTTCTAAATATTTCCAAATATTTCTTTCATTTTCTGTTATTTATTATTATTAGTTAGCGCTGTGGTATAGTGGCAATATAATCATTAATCTATTGAATTCTCTTACATTATGCGTAATCTTTCATTGCTTGTGACAATATGTTACATTCCAAAATTGTTAATTTCTCGGAGTTTTGTGTGATTATTAACCTTTCTTGTAATTATCATATAATAATAATAAAAATGATAAAGTTTAAGCGAGTGTTTGACCGTTTTAGTAGCGCTGTACCTTTCACAACAAGGAACCACCAGGTAATTATTGAATGACCCGATAATAGGAGTGTCCGGTTCGCTTAATAATATCAAATTGAGTTCTAGAAAGTGAACAAAAGTTTTTTAGATAGTATTGTTCTATATCGAATGTTCAGATTGTTATTGATTGATCACAATGCAAAAAAAAATTATTTTCCATCAATTTGGTCCTTTTTTATATACTCACCCCATATTGACGCAGATGACGCTGGTAATCTTCATTAGAAGTTTTTCCGATTGATAATCGGTCCTTAAATCATAAGAAAACATTTATGACTTAATTCTTTCAAATATTGCATTCTAATAAGCTTTTACGTTGCGTTACGGAGTTTGGAATATACATAATATGGATTAATTAATTAATGGAAGTGGAAGTATCAAAGGTTTACATCTAGAAAACCGGTACCTGTATATTTCATGATTTCCAGTGAGCTTGTTTTAATACAAACTAATTATGTACACAATTGCTGCAGTAAAAATATAAAGAAAAAAATTATGTCATGAATATCATACAACTTTACCACGTGTTATAAACTTTAGAATCCGCAGATGTGAGAATATGAACAACAATCTGTTATTGACGTTACTGACGTTACTGACGTTACTGAGATAGAAGTATTATTACGCGTGCAAATATTTTTTTCATATTATTAGATTGTTTTGTGTATACGTAGCTTTCTCCCTTATTTATTCCTCTCTCCCTCACACTTGTCTTTTTTCCATCCTTCTCCCTTTACACTTACCGTCCCTCTTTCCTCTCCCAGCCTTCTCCTTCTCTTCTTCTCACTCACTCTTGCCATCTTCCTACTATTTCTTACTTTTTTCTTTCTCTCTCTTAGCATCTCACCCTCTTCCTTCTTTTCCTTTTTTTACCCTCCTTTTCTTTTCTCCTTCGCTACTCTTTTCTTCTCCCTCTTTATCTTCTTCACTTTCCTCCTTTCTTAATTACTTCCCTCCCTCTTTCTCCTCTTTCCTTTCCCTTCATCTCGTTCACATTCCTTATATTTTGGGTACTGTCGATGTCGATGTCATGTGATCATCATGTGCCGGTTCGGAATTGATCGATGTTACGAAAGTTTAACATGAATATATATTTAACCAGTACGGTACGAATTTGCAAACCAGTACGGTACAGTTGATCAATTTTTGTAATTTTGTATGGGTGATCAACCGTACCGTACAGATTTGCAATTTCGTACCGTACCGATTATCCTACTACCTGTTTAACATGATTAACATGTTCAACATATTATATATAAGACATATTAAACATATTAAACATGAAGATATATTTAATGTATTAAACATGTTAAATATGTTAAATTTATTAATTATTTAGTATATGTAATTTTGGTCAATTTTTTGTAGTAATTTTTTTTGGAATTGTCAAATTTTCACCGGTGGTGATTTTCACCGGTCATGTGATCATGTGATTACTTATGTTACACAACATAACATATATTTATCATATTTATGAAATTTGTTTTTGCTTTGCTTGCTTTGCTTTTCTTTTAATATTTTACGTGTTTTTAATACAAAAAATATTACTTTTGTTACACTATTAAACCCATAGGAGTATATTTCAATTTCATAAAGTTAGATATAATATTTATGAAAAAAAAAACACATTTAAATATTTGTTTTTCTGTTTACCAACTTCAAAGCGTAATTTCAACACTTTAGTCAAATGAAATCAGCTTTCTTTATTAAGTGAAAGTTGTTCAGCGAGGTTGAAA